GAGTGTTCTGTTGGTATTGGCCCTAATGCTCACTGTAAGCATGTCGGTCTGGCTCTGTTTGCCCTTACTAAACAAAAAGAAGGGGTTTTGACAATGCAAACTTGTACAGAAGTCCTGCAAACCCATCATCAGAGCAAGAACTATGATGGCTCCCCTTTGCAGATGTCTCAAATTAAACTTCGTAAATCTGAGGGGCTTCAACGACTTAATAATTTTGACCCAAGACCTGCTCAATATAGAAATACACGAGAGTATAATGATCACTTCAGAAATGTGTGGATAAATTCACAAGCAAAAGATCTGCCAATTCGGCAGTTATATGCACCTGCAAATATCTTTGCAGTGACTCATGATCATGATTACCTGGAACTAACTCATGAAGAATACTTTCTTAAGAGTCTTAATGTTACCAAAATCACAGAGAACGATCTAGAACAGGTTGAAGAAGCTACAAGGGGACAAAGCACAAACAAGTTTTGGAAGGAAGAAAGAAGAAAACGACTTCATGCCTCCAACTTTGGCCGAATATGTAAGTCAGGGGTTAGAACAGACTTTGAAAAAATGGCTAGGTCATTGACAACTATCTCAGAGTTTTCCAGTAAACCCACAGATCATGGGCTGAAGTATGAATCTGTAGCTGTGGAGGCTTACAGCAGTAAGACAGGTAATTTGGTGAAAAGTTGTGGAATCCATGTGTGCATGGAAATCCCATATTTGGCATGTTCACCAGATGGCCTTGTTGATGATGATAGGATTATTGAAGTGAAGTGTCCTTACACATGTAAAGACAGTGCAGTAACTCCAACAAGTGTGCCCTATTTATTTATGGACAGCTCTGGAAAAATGGCATTAAAACACAGTCACAACTATTATTACCAGGTACAGGGGAATTTGTTGTGTACAAAAAGGAAATGGTGTGATTTTGTTGTGTGGACAACGAAAGATATGAAGATCATGCACATCCCCCGAGATGATGAGTTTATAAACGAACTCAAAATCAGACTCCGGGATTTCTTCGAACAGTTTTTCAAGGCAGCATTGCTTGAAACTTTTCTGTACAGAGTTACTGACAAGTATGACTTTTCCTAAGACAAAGGCAAAAGAAAACATCACAGAAAAGAAGTCCTGGTTTCTTGAGCTTCAAATGTTTTAGTCATGGAGTGGACATACATGTACATGTACTGTAGTTGTCACACTTTCATTTATTCTCTGCTAATGACAAACAAAATTCGTTAACCAGACCAAACGCAAGAACTGTTTTTCTTTTACTTGGATTCAATGGAAAACTTTTGAGACCATCCCTTTTTTAGTGTTTGATATATAACTGTCATGTACATGTAACAGTATTATATTTTATCTAAAGTGCATGGCATCAAACATTCTATATATGTAAATGCCTTTGATGGCCTGTTATAAGTCAGGGTTCCTAGCATTTCATGAAAACAAAATTCCCTGATTTTCCCCTGTGTTTTATCTGATGAATTTTCACAATTCTAGAATACTTATTTTGACCTATTTCCACACCAAAAAGCCACCATAGCCAATCATTCAGTGGATTGGCTGTTTGGACATGAGACATAATATAACAAACTGACCACTTTCTATTTTGGGCCAATCAAATTCCCTGACCTTTCCCTGATTTGAGGCATTTTTCCTCAAATTCCCTATCTGGAAAAAGGGAAACTCATTTTCCAGGTTTTCCCTGATTTCCAGCATGGCCAGGAACCCTGTAGATACATGTACATGAATCGTCTACAAAGGGCCCTATTAACTAGAAATTAATAGAAGATAAATATATTGAAAATTATTTACGAAATGTATGTCAACTTGACTAGTGACATGTTTTAGCTCACAAAACTGTTGCAATACATGTACATGTACATTAGATGCTCTGGGTACAAACTTACAGTGTCTCTATTTGGTGAAAAACTATATCTTATGTTGATAACTTTTTCTCCTGCCATGTGTGCACAATAAATTATAATTCAATACATACATATGTACATTAGATGCTCTGGGGTACAAACTTAGTGTTTTTATTTAAAATAATATTATGTATGTCAATACCTTTTTTTCTTCGAACCTGTGCACAATAAATTATAATGCAATACATACATATGTATGCTCTGGAATACAAACCTACAGTGTTTATATTTAATTTAAAAATATGTATGTCAATAACTTTTTTCTTCTGCCACGTGTGCTCAATAAACTATAATTCAATACATACATACATGTATGTACATTAGATGCTCTGGGATACAAAGTTAGTATTTTTATTTAATGAAAAAATATGTATGTCAATAACTTATGTTCTTCTAACGTGTGCATAGTAAATTATAATTCAATACATACATATGTACATTAGATGCTCTGAGATACAAACTTAGTGTTTTTATTTAATAAAAAATTGTGTATGTCAATAACTTATTTTCTTCGAACCTGTGCAAAATAAATTATAATGCAATACATACATATGTATGCTCTGGAATACAGACTTACAGTGTTTCTATTTGGTGAAAAAATATCTCTATGTCACTAACTTTTTTCTTCTGCCATGTGTGCACAATAAATTATAGTTCAATACATACATACATGTATGTACATTAGATGCTCTGGGATACAAAGTTAGTATTTTTATTTAATGAAAAAATATGTATGTCAATAACTTATGTTCTTCTAACGTGTGCATAGTAAATTATAATAAATTTTAATGTATTTCAAAGTCAGAAACTCCTTGTTTTTTTGTCAGCATGTCAGATTTGTATAAAGTCTAGTCATAAATACCTCAGACAGTTTACCAATTCTATTGGTCAAAAGATGATAAAGGTACCAACTTGTTTTAAACACCTTCATAATTTTATAAGAAATTTTGACTCCTGTTTTATCAACTCTAACAATCATACAAGGCAGTATTCATCGTCACATGACATAGACATGCGCAATACAATCAATGAGTCCGTATTCCATAGAATCAACAGTTCATTTCACACATGCCAATTTCCATACATTTGAGGATTTTAGTACTGTACACATGAGACTCATACCATTAATAATAAGGCTAGAGGGGTGTTTCACATATCACATATCACAAGGTGAATATGATGAACACAATTGTTGGGAAAAATGTAAAATTTTGACTTTTTTCTACTTGAAGGCATCAAAACAAAGACTTGGGCAAAGTCTAGCTTAAATCTGCACAAGACAAAATTAATGAGTTCCCAGCCAGCATTTAAAAACCACTTCAAAATTTACATTCATTTTCAAATTGTGACGAATGTTACATTCGCACTGAAAATAGCCAACAGTTTGTCTTGCATATTTTTAACCAAGGTTAAATAGTTAATAGTTACAGTATGATAGCACAACAAGTCACTAACTACATGGAACGCAAGATATTGAGTTTCTGTCAACCTTCATTAAACTTCAAAACATTTTTGTGACGGATGTTACATTTAAAAGACAAGCACCTTTGACTCTTGACACTCAGTTCAAATCCCTGTGAATTTTACACACTTGCGAAAAATCCTAGTATTTCCATCAGTGTGTGCTGGTCTGAGGTAGCCTGCACAAAATATAAAATTTTTAAAATCACATGGTTTTAGAAGAAATCCGCCATTTAAGCCTGTGACGGACGTTACAATTTCCGTGACAAACGTTACACTCTGTGAAACATCAATGCTTGCTACACTGCCAATGGAAAATTAGGTTGGAGTAATTGCGATTTGTCTTGGTAAAACTCACCTACTAGCTTTCTCTCTGACTTAAAATAAAAAAATCACAATATTAAACATGCGTGTTTCATATGTTAAAACAAGGTGCAAAAATGACCACAAAAATCCACCATTTTAGCCCCAAAACAATTTTTTGGACAAAAATCACACTGAACTACATTCCATCCCACTGGCATGCCACTCAAATGAAAGATCTTGTTGTCCCCATTAATTTAATACCACACTTGTTGTTGTGATGTTTGTAGTTCTGAAGATATAAGTAAATTTCCATTTTACAACCATGTCCCCTTTTTCATGGAATCGCCCAATTAGAGAAATGCGGATGCCATGGTGGTACGACTACCAAAATCTACTGAGGAAAACCTCCTTAGGCACTGCTTGGAATGATGCATTTTCTGAAGTTAAGCAGCATGAAACAAACAAATGCGATGTTAGATGCTAGAGTCATCTCTGTCTGATTGAGTGGCTGTGTGAGAATTTTGTACGTTTTGCCAAGACCAATAATTCTCTCAACATGGACTCGCTTACTGGAAATTTTACTATCCCTTAAAACACTCTTTCCTAACATTCTATTCTTCTTCCTGAAGAATGTTGGGATGTTTATGGTGACATCTACTGGTGCAAAAATGTCCTGGATATCAAATCCCTTGTCTACCATGATGGCGTCTCCTGGATCTGTTCTCCTAGTCAGTCCACTGCGTTCTGCTATTTGTCGGTCGCTAGTTGAACCTCCATAAGCACAAGACATATAACTGACAAGACCCCCTGGGGTCACTCCAACAACTGACTTTGCTGTATTGCGATTTTTGTATGTAGAAAAGGTGACTTGCTGAGCAGTGGGAGCTTTGGGTTTCTTTACAGGAAATTCAAACCCATCAAGGATAGTCCGTGTAGTGGGGAAGTTCCTCTTAAAATCTGATGGAGCACAAAAACTAACACAGTCTCTGCTGGGCCATATATCCACCTCTCTCCACTGAAGACTCATAAATCTCATCCAGGTTACAAAGATACAGTAAACTTCTGACTCACTTATTTTGAACATACGACTTAGTTCAAAGTTTGGCGTGTATCTTCTGCATTTTATAACAGTTAGAAAAAACTGATCTGGTACACAGATGCTGGGTCGTACACCGTGTAAGTATGTCAACTTAAATGCACTCGGCCCCAATGAAGCTAAAACATCAGAAAATGTGAGGTAATCTTGAAGACCTGTGTAATAATGCACTCCTGCTGAATCAGTCTTGAAATCCTCTATCGTAAACCCACGATTAAACTCTGTCTGTGTTTCGGAAGTGCACGTAGAATAGTTGGGCAGGGGATCAGTTTGAATGTGTACCTCCTGAATGACAGGAACACTTTCGATGTCAACCTGCATGGCAAGATTAAGATCTTGCACGACGGCATCATTCTCAGCTGATTCCCCTTTTCTGCATTCATCCTGTTTCACTTCTTCTTTCTCAAGCCTTCTCTTTTCATTCCGTTCCTTCAGTCGTTTTTCTCTTGACAGTGCTGGTGAAGAGGGTTCTACTTTACTCCATGCAAACTGGCTTGGGACAGCTGTTTTCTTTAGTTTTTTCTTGTTCACTTTGAAACCTGCAATTAACAATTGAAACATCATGATAAAAGTACTTAGATAAGTTGCATTAATGCAAAAGTGGTTGGTTGGCAAGAGCTTCCTCTCAAACTAATCATGAACATTCATAGAAGAGATTTTACAGACTTTTGTCTGAAATACAATTTATCTTTCAGACCTTTCATCTAAGTTTCAGCCCTCTTGTGCTAATTGGCTTGGTAATCTCATCCCTGTACATTTATGTTTTCAGCGTTTCAAGTGGGTGTAAAGGTATCTCTGTTTAATTAGGCCCTATTGTATTCTGTGTTGATTAATTAAGGACTCTTAACATGTGTAATAACATTGCAAAGTTTTTAAAAAAATCTGTGCAAATTCAATGGTAGACTTTTGAGATGCTTGGTGGCAGCAAACATACATGTAATGGTTCCACATACATGTCAATTGTCCACTATTGTTTTTATCATGTTTGAGTTAATGTGCGCTTCTTCTTCCAGAAAGTACAATCCCTCTTAGAAGTTCAATTCCGAGTATTGTCGTACTACATGTGCAGTGTAAAGGTACGGGTACTCAAAACAATGCTAACAATAGCGGACCAGTCGTGTTGGACCATGTTGTATGTTTGCTACCACCAAGCGTCTCAAAGTCTCCCATTGAATGAGATGTTGCAAAAGAGAGATCTGAGCAAGCAATGAGACTCTGTGTTTCTTTGTTATTGTTTTTAATATGAACATTCCCTAACACTTATCGCAAATTCTGCCTGGTTGGTTGATTTTGCACAATGGACAAAAGGCACCATGGGAAGGAAACAGGAACAAACAGACAGTGTTCCTTTTTCCTTCCCACAATTCATTTCGACCATTAGTGGAAAATCAACCAGGCAGTATTTGCAACATTTATGCCACTTTGTCTTTGCCAGTACAAATTTATGCATGGATATCCATCATGTCCAGCAAAGAAACAGTGCAACTTTACAATTGCAGACGCGGACATTAGAAAAATATCGTCTTTGCTACTAGTACTACACTGTCGTCCTGTTCATACCATGCCATGATCATCATTGAATATTGCTGAAAAATCGGGGGAAATTATGAATAGTTTTTGTTTTAAACTTACCCAGCACTGACTTCTCTTCGTAATCGGAGTCCAAAAAGTGCGCCTTGCACACAAGACTGCTAGCCGTTGGCCACCACGGTCGTATGGGTTTGAAACTATCCCTTTTGATGGCCCGTCTCCACTGGTTTCGTATTTTTTTGTCCTTGGGAAATGTGTGCCCTCCGCGGTGGCAACATCCGAACACGGCACAGCAAGATCCAGGCATTTGGTGCAAGGTTTCATTGAATGAGGTGCACTGCTTGTGCACGAATCAAGGACAACAAAATACGAACTCTTTACTTCCGGGACCGTTGAAGCACGCCCTCTTGCGATAAATTAGAACTAGTCAAAAGTCTCCCATTGAAGTAAAGCTCTTCTCTTACCCTGTCCGTCCGCCCGCCCGCCCGCCCGCCCGCCGTATGAAGTTGAAAATCGGCGGGTGTATTGCTCGGGACACCAGAATGTGCAGTGCCAAGTTTGAAGTGGTTTGTACTACGGGTTCTCGAAAAAGCTGCAAAAAAACCCAGTATTTTCTTAGGCCTAACGTGCCAGTATATATCTAAGAACATAATAACACCACGCACTGCCGTCCTTCTCAATTGTTTACGTCATGTAAAGCTAAAGCGCGCGTGCTCAATCAATTGTTTACGTCATGTTTAACCACGGATCCTCTCTATAATGTACGGAACGGTTTGTCTTCATGCGTAATTTATGCCGCGTCCGCGCATAGAATATGCCACGTCCGCGCGCGTAATTTTTATTCCTAGGAGGGTTAGGGGCAATGTCATGAATAATTCATGTTTATCCATGAGAACGGACAATGACATCAACAGCATTGTTGTTAGTTTCTCAACTAGTTACAATACATTAAAGCATTTAAAAAAACGGTTGTCGTCGAGCTACCACACAGTAGCCTAGTGGATAGCGAGATGAGCTATGGATACAAAGATCCCTGGTTCGAATCCACGTCGTCGCTGCTCATTTTCATCAGCTATTTTTCTTCTCCAAATTTATCACTGAGATAATTTTAAATTAAGGGGAAAATAGAACGAGAACCTAAGTCTTGCAATGATTCAAAGTAAAAACTGAATTATTCATGACATTGCCCCTAACCCTCCTAGGAAAAAAAATTACGCCGTCCGCGCATGGAAAATGTACGATGCCACACTTTTGTTCCACATGTTTTCTTACTATAATAGACCGCTTGCAGACGCGTTCGATAATTGACGCGCGAAGGTGTGCGACGCCATGTTGTGGGACAAAATGTGCATGGATAGATATGCGCTTGTTCCACAACATGGCGTCGCGCGCCTTCGCGCGTCGATTATCGAACGCGTCTGCAAGCGGTCTATTGAGCAAGATTATACTGCACGTTCTGTGTACTTCTTATGCTTTGCTAATACGCCAACGTAAACCACGCCATAATGTGATATACGCCAACGTAAACCTCGCCATAGTGTGACATACGACAACATAAACCACGCCATAGTGTGATATACGCCGACGTAACCGGACCACGCGATAGTGCACCTGCCAGGTGAGTTCAATAATACTTTTCAATTTTCTCCCTCGCCAACATCGCTGCGATATCTTAAACGCATTCAGAAATACGTTGGTTACTTTTTGGACAGCAGTTCATTCCTTCAGAAGACCATATTAAGGAAAGTTGTTTCACGTATTGAATCACCGAGTGCATTCGTCATGCAAATAATGGACTGTACTTTTAAGTGTATTAAAATCTTCCATCAGCATTTTAATGTCTTAAAGGTAGCGTCCATTTGCAGTGCCCATTACAAATGTGAATATGTCTTAAACGTATACAAAATTAAACGTAATCAGAACATGTCTTAAACGTAGCGTCGGTTACCTTTTGGATAACATTCAAATGATGGTCTGTACTTTTAGTTTTATTATTTCATTTTAGTGTTTTAAGAACTTCCATCAGCATTTTACACGTCTTTAAGGTATAGCGTCCATTTGTAGTGCCCGCTATACAAATGTGCATTTGTCTTAAACGTACGTATTCAGAACATGTCTTAAAGGTATTAAGAACTTCCGTCAGCATTTACATGTCTTATAGGTAGCGTCCATGTGCAGAGCCCGCTAAAACTGCAACAGTTTTGAAACTTTCATAACACATAACAGTGTCCCCCTTTTTTATATATTTTTTTTACAGTTTTGTACAAATCACCATCAATGAAATAATTACGTCTGTTACTTTTTGGATAGCATTTAAATGATAGACTGTAATTTTAAGTGAATTAAGAATTTCCGGCAGAAATTTACATGTTTTAAAGGTAGCGTCCATTTGCAGAACCCGCTAAAAATGTACATGTTTGCATGGTGTTTTTTAAAATTCTTTTTTAAAGGTAGCGTCCATTTGCTGAACCCGCTAAAAATGTACATGTTTGCATGTTGTTGTTTTTTAAGTTTTGTGCAAATCACAATCAAAGAAAAATTACGTCTGTTACTTTTTGGATAGCATTTAATTGATTGACTGTACTTTTAAGTGTATTAAGAACTTCCAGCAGCATTTTACATGCCCTATAGGTAGCGTCCATGTGCAGAGCCCGCTAAAAATGCAACAGTTTCCGGCAGAATTTAACATGTTTTAAAGGTAGCGTCCATTTGCAGAGCCCGCTAAAAATGCACTGTTTGCATTTTTTTTTTTTTTTTTTTTTTTTTTTTTTTTTTTACAGTTTTGTTCAAATCACAATCAATAAAATAATTCCGTCTATTACTTTTTCAAAAGCATTGAAATGATGGACTGTAATTTTAGGTGTATTAAGAACTTCCGGCAGAATTTTACATTTGCATAGCCCGCTAAATTGTACATGTTTGCATGTTTATGAAAGGGGCGAAATGATGAATGATTTACAGGGAGTTTATGCTATGCTTTTTAGCAATATTTCCTTTGGTTATTTTTTGATCCCCCTCAAGATTTCACGACTACACGCTGACTGAGCACGTTGCCTGAGGGTGGTTCATTCACTAACATGCTAAAATATAGCCGTGCTAAGCTGGAGCAGGAGCGGATGCGCAAGGCCAACCGACGTACAGCTGAGTCGGACAAAGCACGGCATGCGCGCTTAGCTCAGGATCAAGCAAGCAACAGCCGTGCGCGACACAACGAGACCCCTCACCAGCAGGCGCAGCGCCAAGCACGTGACCGTCGACGTCACAACTTCGTGCGAGAGAAGGAAACCCCACAGATACGAGTGGAGCACCAGGAAAGGGACGCCGTGCACCATCAAGAAGCGAGAGCACAGGAAACCCCACAGATACGAGTGGAGCACCAGGTTAGGGACGCCTTGCACCATCAAGAAGCGAGGGCACAGGAAAACCCAAAGATACGAGCGCAGCACCAGGTAAGGGACGCCGTGCACCATCAAGAAGCGAGGACACAGGTAACCCCACAGATACGAGCGGAGCGCCAGGAAAGGGACGCCGTGCACCATCAAGAAGCGAGGGCACAGGAAACTCCACAGATACGAGCGGAGCGCCAGGAAAGGGACGCCGTGCACCATCAAGGAGCGAGGGCACAGGAAACCCCACAGATACGAGCGGAGCGCCAGGCAAGGGACGCCATGCACCATCGGCAAGTCCACAGTGAACGACTGCAGCAGGCATGCCATGACAAGCGCAACCTCGCACGGTATGATGATACAGACTTTTTCCAAGAGGAGCTTCATATGGATTGCAGGCAGACACTTAGCAAGACCTCGATACAACAATGTCCCAAATGCTCACATTGTGGTGCCTTTGTATGGAAAGAAGAAAGGAAAGGATTCTGCTGCAGCTCTGGTAAGATTGACCTTCCGTACGATCCCACAAATCCCAAACCTGGATCAATCCCACTACAGCCTCCAGATGCTATCATGCACCTCTATCGTAATCCGAACTTTGTAAAGCAGGCCAAACAGTATAACAACGCGCTGGCAATGGCCAGTATCGGTGTTCAAGAGATACCAATTCCTGGCTTCAATCCTGGGATTCGCATACAAGGGAAAGTTTATCATTACATTGCTGGCTCCTCTTCCAGAGCAGGGTCGTTCCCCACTCTATGCGCAGATCTACTTCCACGATCCTGCCCATGAGCTAGAAAACCGTCGTACCCACACCTCCAACAGCGGCCTCAATGAAGATTTTTTTACTGAGAGCACAAGAGGCCATTCACGAGTGCAGCCCGTACTTGCAGCAGTTCCAATCAGCCATTGAGTATGTGGCCCAGAATAACAGCAACAATGAACTCAAAATTGTCCTAACAGATCGAACGCGACGCACAAACCCTCATGTGAATGGCGCCTGATAGCGACGTGGCTGTCATTGCTCCAGGAGCAACGCCGACAGAGCAGTTTGGAAAACTGGCTGTAACTCTTCACCTCAGAGGAGGAAGAATTCAAACCATTGACGCCATGCATCCAGCATATGACCCATTGTCATACGTACTGCCATGCGGTTCCCAGGGATACCACACTTAACTGGCAGGAATTCCACCTACATCATTCTACCGCTACCATCTTCAAGTACGAGACCCTACTCAGCACTTCAATCTACTTCTTCGTGGTGGAAAACTGACACAGCAGTACGTATGTGACATGATGGCCAAAATTGAGTCACACCGCCCCAGATGGATCTGCAACAACCAGAAGTCCATCAAGGCTGAAAAGTACAAGGTAATTGTTGATGCCCTAAACAGTGATGCTGAGATGCTACCTGGACGCCTCACCATCCTGCCGCCGTCAATTTATGGCTCACCATGGTGGTATGCCAAGGAGTTCCAGGATGCAATGGCCTTGGTCAGAATCAAGGGAAAACCTGATTTCTTCTTGACCTTCACCTGCAACCCCAAGTGGCCAGAAATCACAGGATCGCTTTTTGAGAGTCAACCAGCCCATCAGAGACCAGACATCATCGCTCGAGTGTTCAGCATGAAAGTAGAAGCTCTCCTCACAGACCTCCTCAAGCACGACATCTTGGGGCACGTGGGGGCCTACGTAATGGTGAAGGAAACGCAAAAGCGCCACCTTCCACATATTCACATGCTCCTGACCATGGTACCTCGCGACAAACCCAGGACCTCGACAGATATTGATCGCGTGGTCTCTGCCGAGATACCTAACAGCAACACCAATCCTGAACTTCATCGTATCGTCACATCACACATGATTCACGGTCCGTGCGGGGAATGGAACAATGCTAGCCCCTGCATGGCAGACCAGAAGTGTACAAAGCACTATCCGAAGGTCCTGCGAGAAAAGACAAGCTTCTCTGAAGACAGCTATTCTCTTTACAGGAGACGGGCAGAAACAGCTCCTGGAACTCCAATCATGAAGACAATCAGAGGAGGCGTCAACGTATCAGTCAACAACGCATGGGTTGTGCCTTACAATCCATATATTCTACTCCGGTACAATACCCACATCAACCTTGAGATCGTTTGTGCTATCACCAGTGTGAAGTACCTGTACCAATTCCTTGAAAAGGGACCAGATCAGTGCCTGGTCAGACTAGACGTGCCAGATGAGGAGACGCGACAGGCGTTGCGACGTGATGGGGTCACGCAATATGAACTCGGGCGATACATCACTGCATCTGAAGCATACTGGCGCATCTACGACTTCCCCATTCAACGCAAGCAACCACCAGTACAAATGTTGACAGTTCATCTGGAGGATGAACAGGTGATCACGTTCAATGACCAAGGCGCTGCCCACGACCTGGTGGACTCAGGGCCCCCTGCAACCACACTCACTGCCTTCTTCGATGCCATGATTTAACACCCACACATGCGGCAAGTTGTGTATCCAGATGTATTTCAACACTTCACCTACTTGCGAAAGACATTTCAGTTGCGAAAGAAAAGACTTAGTTCTCACAACGACCGGATGGCAGACACAGTTGGACGACTCCCTCTTATTGCCTACAGCCCTCATACTGCAGACCTATATTATCTCCGCATCCTACTTTACCGCGTGCCTGGGCCAACATCCTTCCAAGACATTCCACGCGTTGGCAACAGGGAATTGGGTACCTATTTGGCAGCCTGCATCGCACATGGCATTGTTGATAACGAAGAGGAGGTGAATGCTGTAATGGAGGAGGCTTCGAACATCACATTTGGCCCGGCGGTGCGTGAAGTATTTGCAAACATGCTCATGTTTGTTGTCAGAGGGGAACACTTGCAGTTCTGGGAAAAGCACAAACGTGTGCTGTGCGAGGACCTCATGCATGAAGCGGGTGTCAATGAACCAGATGAAGGTATTGTGAGTCAAGTGCTGCTCGAACTGAAGGACCAAGTTGAGAGGCACGGCTTTACGCTCAGCAAAAACTTCGGCCTCCCTGAGCCTGATCCAGGTCACATTCAGCCACGCATTCCCCACGGCTGTTCCAGCGCAAAATAATGGCGCCCTCTGTCGTTCTAATCGCGCCAATCGAAAATCTCCGTAAAATGACGTCACCGACACTCTTCGTGGGTCGGGCCAAGCGAGTTTCGTATCATGAATATTTATATCTGGGAATATTTGGAATGTCATTGGTAGATTAATCGGTCAAAGTTCAAAATGTTTCTTATTCAAAAGGTTGTTATTTTCCCCTTATTTCCATATATGAATATCAGCTCATGAATATTAAATTACTGAAAACGGCGTCCGTCAATACTGGTGTTCGACCGAACTGATTATCGCGGTGTGCGGTCATGTGACAAATTTGTCACATTAAAAGGTGTTTTTCTCCAAACAAGAGGTTTTCCCCGATGTAAGGCCCACATCAACTTTGTTTTGGATATACGTGCTGCATATGTGTCCGGTTTGAAGGTAAGGCCAGCGGTAGATTTGTTGATATTTAGGTGCAAAAAGTGACATTTTCGTGTGTGCGCGGAATGCCAACCGGTCGAGTTGGTTGTAAAGCGTACATGGTACGCGCGTGTGTATCACGCATAGCCCAAGCGCTTGATGGTTTAGAGACAACTCGACCGTTTGCGTGTTCATGTGTTTGTACGGGCACGCGTGCGGATCTAACCCGTACCTAGGTTTGTGCATGTGTGGACGAAGTTCCTCCATTGGCGTGATGCATATGTACATGACATGACATGTCGTGTATTGTGCTACAACTTTGTTATACATGGGAAAGATTTCCATACATAAATTACATCAACATGATCAACTAGGCCTTAATTGGAAGGTAAAAAAAATGCTATTTGCACGATTCAGTATAAAATTAATAAAAACAATACGAACAGGTCATGACAACAGAGAGAGAAAAATGCCCCCCCCCCAAAAAAAAATGAACGTTTCATAACAATTTGATTCTGACATGAACAGGATGAAAGTAGTTAACATGTTGGACTAAATCTTTTTTAATTGTACATGCCACCTTTCGTGTTCGCAGAACGTATTCTGGCATGTCTGACGTTGAATTTATTTCAGGCTTTGCATATTTATTCAGTAATGTTTAGCCAAATGCCAAATCCATTTTCATGTAAACACATTAGTGCCTCAGCTTCATGGGGACATGAAAAAAATTGGCAATTCTAAATTGAGGTGTTTTGTTTCTGTGTGATCCTCTACCCTACAAATGGATCTTTTTTTTTCTAGATCACCAACCTTCCCAAATTTTCCAGCCACTTTAGACTTTGCACAGGCCGTATTGTGCAGTGTGCACCCCCCCCCCCCTGATAAAGTAATGGTGTCATGATACATGTACATCATGTACATGTGACATGCACCACTGTTTTAGTGTTGGCGGTACATGTAGAACTTTGAATGTATGGCTACATTTCTCCCATGCCCCACCCCCACCCCACCCCCTAATAAAAGCAATTGTACATGTGATCCTGTTTTCTGAAAAAAAAACATTTTGTTATGATTTTTCAGGAAGTTTGCAGTATCATTCACCTGACAAGAGGGTTTCTCGTATCTTCTGGAGCTCTGGTGAGATGGTGGTGTGATGAGCCGTTGACTCCTAGTAATGAGCCGTAGCGTACAGTGGAAGTGAATCTTTCATCCCACGTTTGTGCATGGAGGATCAGGATTTCACAGACATGAGCATGTGTTGGATGTATTTTTGGTAACTGAATGTGTACAAAACTGTGTGATGCCATGTGCACTGCTAGATTTGAACAAACCCTGCACCGCCTTGATCCGACACATTAAGAACTTCTATTGTCTACTTGCCAAGGAATCACTCTGGAATTTAAGCTCAGGATTCACACGTCACACATGATCACTCGCGATTGATTGGTTCTCGCTCCCATAATATCGGACATGTTTACATTTTAATGCCCATTTATGGCCATTGACTGGATCACCTCTGCACATGTGCAGTACAATTTTGTTTTTTGGAAAATGATATTTACATTCTGATTTCTCGTGCATGGCCATCGCAAAACTGACTCGTACATGAACCATAAACAGTAGGCAAAATGGTCATGTCTCTACTGAAACTGCATTAATGACAACATTGTTGCCACTTTGAATGGGCTGGATCCATGCTGACATTATCATTGTGATTTTGTATATAAGGGCAGAATTGTGACCTAGGCTAATTTGTATACATTGGTAGGAATTCCTCCAGGACTACTGCGAACGACACTCCCAAGTGCCAAAATTATGAATTGAAATACAACTGGATATTTACTTTCATTGAAAATCAACTAATTGTTGACACTACTAAAATGCTATTATTACATTAGATATTTTTATCGGCGCTTTTTTTAAAGTAAGTCAATAGGCTACTAATAACAAGTTTTAAGTTGGCCTTCTTTTCCATACTTTAAAACAGATGAGACTTTTACGTGTACATTGTATGTGGATTGCTTTTTTAGGTGTACTGTGACCAATGGGAGACCAAAGGATTTCACTAAAGTGGCCGCCAACTTAAATAATGAAATAAAGTAAAAAATAAATATTACCCTGCCAGTTTTTAAATCTAATATTCAATTGGAGTCTGCCTTTGCTTGTGCCACATGCATTGATTGGCTGCAGCCTCTACTATCTCTGGGGGAATGCGGCAATCTCTATATATGCTGTGTGATGTCATGTGGCCATAGATTTCAGCAACCTTGCTGGTTACTTTTGCTTCTTGGAAGGGTTCTGGACAGAACTGTTGTGCTGACCTGACTCGAAACTGTAACCGACCCAACCAAAAACCAACTTTGTGTTTGGTCGGGTCGGTTTGTCCGTCATTTCAATTGGGTTGGTCAGTTTTGTGTTTGAAAATTTGCGGATCAGGTCGAATCGGGTCAATTCAAAACCCGAAATAAACGGGGAAAAAAGATGGAAACAGTTTGGAAATTAACACAGCGCAGGATTTGGATTATATCTATAATGTTTCGCATCGGTTTGGCCTGTCGTGGACCCGACCCGAAGCAAAACACTACTGGACAGGGAGGTTTTCGAAGTTTTCGAGGTTTGGATGAAGCTAATCTGGGGCACTTGTGGACATATGAAGGACTGCATTTGCTCGAGTTTTCCTAATAGCCCGAACAGTCCTGAATCCTGGAATTTTAATACGATTCCCCCCCCCCCCCACCCAGGGAGTTAGGGTTAATGAAAAATGTTTGAAGTGATAAGTGTTGCACCTGTAGTGGTTTTACTTCATGAATATTGCTGTGCAAATAGGGGCAGGATATTGTTTTTTTTATGAATTTTTTAAACAATTTCAAGCAAACTTGGAGCATTACATTTGTTCATATAATCATAAGGCCGTCTGACCTACAGGAGTCTGATGTAGAAAGCTCATCCTGCCTAATATTATTGGTGTTCGTACAAAATTATTTGTATTCTTAACATGCATGATCTGGCCGGAGTTCTGCTGAATATTTTCCCCACAAACAACCGGCCTGTGACTCTCAGCGCACGGTTTCGCTGCGCTGCAGTTCAGCGGGTAGGGCAGTGCGACAACGCCGTGTTAACGCCGCGCGTGCCCCGGTGGTGTGTGCATGCGTTCACGCCCTACAGCTATTGTGCCGTGTGATGTGCGTGTATACCGCACGGTGTTCGTGAAAAGTGGCTGTATTTTAACGGTTCTAAAAAAAAATCTACCGCTGGCTTTCGCATGAAACTTCATGAGTCATTTAAGATGGTCCTTATTTACAAGAAGTGACAAAGGAATATTTGGGGAAAACTTGGTATCAATAATAAAACGGGATTTTCGTCGGGGATTTTTAACAACTTCCAAAACAAACAGCGACAGAAAACCTTACGCACGAAGCGTAATCAAACCTGATTTTTACCGGTATTTTGAACTTTATGGGCCAGCTCAATCTCCCGATGTGTGGAAACTCACGTTATCTGTCAGAATTATAGTATGGCACCATAAGACATTGTGTGAGTCATGATTTAGGGGCAAGTTTGGGGCATGTTTTTCGTGTTTTGTTTTCGTGAAAATTTAGGACGCCATCTTGAATTTCCAAAATTGCATGACGTCATCACTTTGATACACTGCAGTAAACAAACGCTGTGCGGACAAAATTGCTCAAGTTAATTGCTCACGTTATGTCTATGGGATTGAAACGGCCGTGTCCCCGCATCATCGAGAACGAGATAGACCACAACATACCCGCGCTGGAGGCACACATAGCTCAGACAAACGGCCTTCTCAATGACGAACAGCGTGTTGTTGTCAATGCAGTGATGGACAGCGTGCAACAGAAACATGGCAAGATGATCGCAGTTGATGCAAGTGGTGGAACTGGGAAAACATTCACATTGTCCCACATCCTCAACAAAGTCCGAGCACAGGGCAAGGTGGCCCTTGCAACAGCTGCAAGCGGCATCGC